CACACACACACACACACACACACACACAAATAAAATTTAAAAAAAGTAATAAGTAAATAAATGCTTCCAAGCTATAATTCTAGCACTTGGGAGGCTGAAACAGGAGGACAGCCATAAATTGCAGGCCAGCTGGACCATTTCGTAAGTTCCAGGCCACACAGTGAGACCCTGTCTAAAAGTAATAGTGATAGAAGTATGGCCAACCTCCCCTGTGCTCACTGTAAAACTTAAGAAGCTAGGGCCAGGGAGGTAGCTCAGCAGCACGAGTGCCTGCTTGGCAAGGGCAAGGTCCCAAGTAAGATCCCCCCGTACCCCTACATAAAAATTAAGAAGCTACAGGGAAGTATGGAGAAGAAAAGCACTTGGCCCCGCACGGGCTCGCTGAGGCCCTCACCGAACTGCCCAGAGCAGCTGGCCAGGCGCTAGCAGCGAGTTTCTCCTGGAGGCTTCAGCCCTCCTTCTGGCATTTGAACATACATGTACATGTACACTCAGGCTTACACCTGTGTGCACACACACATACATGCTTTCCTGTGCGTGTGCACACACAGAACCTCTTACCTGGGAATCTCCAGTTTCCTTCAACCCCAAAACTAAAACCACTGCTAGTTAATCAAGAGGCATAATTTCAGATCATGAAACGGAGGAAGGGTGTTGTGTAGGGTGGGTGACATCTAATACCTGTCTGTGTGCCTAGGGACAGTTGTACATGTCACTCATGTTTGGGACCCTGGAATGTGAAATCTTATAGCTGCACTTTTCTCATAATAAATTAGCTGGTCATTACTCCATCAGTGTCCACGAGGCTAGGTGTTCTTAGCTGATGAGACCCTAGGCGCGCTGCCACTCAGGCACACAGTGGCCGCCCAGCCTCGCCCGTGCTGAGCCCTTGGGGGGCAAGCAGCACTTCTCCTTCTGGGTGTGGAGCATTTCTGCTAGGAGAGGGTGTCATGAACTGCTCTTGACTGCAAGCCCAGGAGGGCTGGACCACTGTCCCAATTTTAAACCAGGTGGCTGAGGTAAAGAGGAACTGGAGCCTCCCGGTCAGCGGCAGAATAGAACTTGGTCGGGCCTACCCAGCTGACCCTGGCCTCTGCTTGCCCTGCAGACTCTGAGAAGCAAGACCTGCCTGTTTCTGAACTGGTGGACATTGCATCACAGGTGGCTGAGGGCATGTGCTACCTGGAATCACAGAATTATATCCACAGAGACCTGGCTGCCAGAAACATCCTCGTGGGGGAGAACAATATGTGCAAAGTGGGAGACTTTGGGCTGGCCAGGCTCATCAAGGTAGGCCAGCAAAGCCCACCTGGGGAAGATGGGCCATCCAGCTCACCCTAGCCCCCTTCACCGTCACACTGGCCCACCCGGAGCCTCTCTCTGTTCTTTGTTCCTGTACCCTGCGGCTAGGCTTCCTGCCTGGTGTCTCAGCGGACAGGCTCTTCTGACCTGCTGGGTAGCAGAGCTCCCTCTGGTGGCAGTAGGGCAGCAGTGGGTGGGTCAGGTGGTGGTCAGAACAATGTGGCTGCTCCGTGGCCCACCCAAACCTCTATTCCTGGGCAGTTTGTGCAGACTGATGTGGGCTGGGGACACAGGAGCCTTCTATGGCCCCTACAGCCCTGTCTGGTTGCAGGAGGACATCTACCTTTCCCATGATCACAAGATCCCTTACAAGTGGACGGCCCCTGAGGCTCTCTCCCGAGGACATTACTCCATCAAATCTGATGTTTGGTCTTTTGGAGTTCTCCTCCATGAGATTTTTAGCAGGGGTCAGACACCCTATCCAGGTATGGCCCAGAGCAGCCCTGATGATGGGTAGATGGTTCACTGGAGTGGGGGCAGATTCTTGGGGCCACCAGGAATGATGGGGGGAGCTTCCTCGGGGGCCTTCCCTGTACATACCACCCCCCGTGCCCAGAGTCACTTCCTGTGACCATTTGGGGAGGGAGCGGTGTGCCCAGCATGGGGGCGGCATCAGGGAAGGCTTCCTGGTAGGGGAAGCAGGCAACTGGGTTTCTGGGTGGAGCTTGGGCGTCAGCCTTCCTGCAGTTCCACCCCTCTCTCCCACTGGCAACAGGCATGTCTAACCACGAGGCCTTCCTGAAGGTGGATGCTGGCTACCGCATGCCTTGCCCCCTGGAGTGCCCGGACAATGTGTACGGGCTGATGTGTTCCTGCTGGAGCAGGGACCCAGAGCAGAGGCCTTGCTTCAAAGCCCTGTGTGAGAAACTCTCCGGCTTTGCTAGATACGAGACTCTGCTCTAAGATGCCTCGGAGGGGTGTGACCAGGGCCCACGCAGGAGTGCCCGAGGCTGCTGTCCTGGGCCTTGATCTAGTGTGTGCGCTGTCCTCGGGCTTATGAGATGACGGGGCAGGAGCCGGGTGGCACTTCTTGGGAAACAGAAAACAGGGGAAGCAGGGCCCACGGCCCCACCTTCCCACCTACTGAAGCAGGTTCAGCCCAGCCCTGGTTGGCCTCCTCCCAACAGGAATCAGGTTGGGGGGGATGGTCACAGGGACATCAAGAAGAACCTGAGCCAGAGGACTTGCTCAGTTCTTGCCAGCTGGCTGCCTTCAGAGCCGGCCTCCTGTGCCCCTGCTCCTCTGAGGGCGGTACTGCTCCTTTGGGTCTTCATTCTGAAGGTTCCTGACACATAAATCTCACACTGAAGGAATCTGACTGCTTTGCTTTTGTTAACTTGTCCCTGTTGGAAAGGTCCCAGCTGTTGTGACACTTGCAACAGTAAGGAAAAGATACTAACTTTTCTTTCTACACTTTCTGAGGCCCAAAGGGGTGGCTGAAATGCCCCTGCCCTGGAGCCTGCAGAGCACACAGTGAAGAGCTGATGTGGGCCAGGGAAAGGTGGGTTCTCTCCGACCTCTGCCTGTGGTGCCCAGTTGACGGAGGAAGGTTAAAAAACCTGTCCCTCGGGGCTGGAGAGATGGCTCAGTGGTCTAAAGCACCTACTTGAAACAAGCTTGGCAAAGCACAGGGACCGCGGTTCGATCCCCCAGCACCACATGCCAGCCAGCCCCGCCCCCTGGTGGGCTGAGCTGGCCACACACACACACAATAAATAAATGTAATAAATAAAAATAAATAAATAATTAAAAAAATTAAAAAAAAAAAAACCTGTCCCTCTTCTCCAAATCCAGCTTAGCAGGAGGAAGTGCCAAGTCTGATTTTGGGTGCCCACTGGCCCATGCTGCAGCGACAGCCTCCCGGTCCTGGGAGCCAGTCCTCAAAGTCGGACACCTTTATGGCCTCTGCCAGCCAGAGGCTGTGTGCGCTTGGGCCTCAGCCCTTGCCCCCCCCAGGGCCACAGTGGTCTCCCCCTCCTCCCACCATTTGGAGACACAGTTCTAGACCTTCCAGAGCTTGTTCAGGGAATCTCTTGGCTGTGATGAAGTCATAGTAAAGGACAGTTTGATCTGTGAATGAGAGGCCTCTGATTTAAAAGAAGAAGAATGAGTCCAGTGGTGCCAAGATACTGCTTGTTCCAGGGAAAGCTCTTAAGGGGACACTGGAAAGAGTCTAGGGGCACTGCAGTCAGGCCAGCCTTGGGCTTGCTTGGCCGAGTTTTAAGGCCTCTCTTCCCCCACTGGACCTGCTGCGTCCTTTGGCCAGTCCTCCCTCCCCTGGAGCTTAGTCCTCCCTGTGCCTCCCTGCACCTTCTTGTCATTCTTCCCATTCCTTCAGACCCTTCCTGTCCCTGGGAAATCTGGCCAGATGGTCCCCTCCCCGTGCCATCTCTTCATGTGCCTGGACCTCAGACACCTGCTCACTAGAGACTCAGGGTCCCCAAAAGCTGCTGCTGGAGCTGACAGGAAAGAAGTGGATGGAGCTGGGCAGTGACCCCCAATGCCTCCTGGCCACGGAAACGGCTGTGGCCTCCCTACCACTGACCTCCAACACCCAGCAAGCTACCCCAGGGCACCCCTCTTGGGAAAAGCGTTTTCTCTGGGCCCTCTCTAAACCCTCTTGGGAGCAATGGCTTCAGGGAAGTGACTATTGGTTGTTTTTTTTTCGGAACTGGTGATTGAACTCAGGCCCTTGCGCTTGCCAGGGAAGCGCTTATTCTCCTGAGCCATCTCCCCGGCCCTGAAGTGACTGTTGTTGGAGGAAAAGGAACTACCTGGAAACTGGGAGAATGAAACATCTTGGAAGGTTTTTTTTAAATTTCCCCACAAACCAATGGTAAACTTTTATAATGATTAATACTAAGTTGTTGTACTCACCTTTTAAATACAGCTGAAAAATGACGGGAGAAAACACTGGAAACTTTATACTCTCAGAATTATCGCCCATTCAGTGATTAGTGGTTGATACCTCTACATTTTTCTCTTTTTTTGTGGAACCGGGGATTGAACTCAGGCCCTTGCGCTTGCCAGGGAAGTGCTTATTCCACTGAGTCATCTCCCCAGCCTCCTCCCCGTTTTAAGAATTTTGATAAAACAAAAATAGGAATGGATTTAAAACTGTCAGTATTAACTATAATGCAGATAAACTCACTTCCCTCCTGGGCTAACAAGCTTATACTAATATTATTGGATGTGATCATAAAACTAGCAGGTTGTAGGGTGCACACTGTTCCCTAGAAGGTGGAGGCTGAAGGACCCCGAGTTCAGGGCCAGCCTGGTCGATCCCGAGACACTGCCTCAAAAACAAAGTCCAACCAAGAGACGAACGTGCCAGAGGAGAGTATGTGGGGCGGAGGGCAGTGCAGATGTGTCTGCAAACGTGCCTGTGCCAGGTGCTGAGGCCACAGTTCGGAGGTGCCTGCTTCCTGGTTTTCACTAGAAACTCTAATACATGTAAGTGACCATTAGAGGGGCCAGGGAGACAGCTCAGTACAGTAAGTGCTTGCCTGGCAAGCACAAGGTCCAGAGTTCAATCCTCAGTATTGCAAAAAATAAATAAATAAAAGAACCCTATTTTTTTTTTTTTTTTTTAAAAAGGCTGGGCTTGGGGACATGGCTCAGCAGCATAA